GTAAATGCTAATGCCGTGACTGCAGCAGAAAAGCAGGTGAGTGATGCCCTGGTGTGTCGAGATCCCTGCACGTACAGGGAGGCTGCAAAGGGGGGAAAGAAGCAGACAGGGCAGCAAGATGTGGTGGGGGCTCCTGGAACCACACCTGCACCAGAGAGCACACTCACAACTCCTGGGAATCAAACCCACCCACCCAATAAAGGGTGGGAGCTGCTAGGAATTCAGACAGGACGCGGGTTTAGAGTCTCCTACTAAACAGGGCCTTAAAAGCTTACACCCATTTCTCTAGCGCTTCTCCTTCAGCAGCTTCAGCAGAAGATAAAGTGGGTCGAAGGCAGCTTTCCAGCAGGAAAATCAATCTAAAATTACACCACTTGGGGAGACCCAGGCGGCGATGGGAGAGAAGAAGGAGCGCTGCTGCGCTGATCCACCCTGCGCTCTCTCCTACGTAAGAGGCACAGACCACAGAGCATTTATCACCATCTCTGCTCAAGCCTTCAGAGGACCATCACCCTTCATTCCTGCACCACAGCTCAACAGCCACCAGGCACTACAACCCCAGGTTTGCTCCTTAGCTTTGCTCAGTAAATACAGGGAAGGAAGAGTCACCGCTCTTGAGGTGAGAAGAAACGTACTGTGGAAACTGTCTGCCTCTTGGTATCCAAAGAGATTAAGGAGAGCTTTATAACAAAATCAATCCCCTTCTCTGCCCAGGATGGGTGCATTCTGCTGCGTCCCTTCAGAAAGATTTCACAGCACTAAACATCCATAAGCTCTCATTCTGTTACTTCTTTTTCGGTGGAAATATGTCAGAGCCCGAACACGATGCCATTTGATTTCCTGTGTTTGGAGTCTTTGAATCTCACTTGGGCCATTTTGGAGACTTGATGTTCAGCTCTGCAATGAAAACTTTGTTTTGAGACTTACTGTGTTTTCTAAAGGAGACCTTAAGGTATGACAATTGATCCATTTGCAGTACTGGAGTATTATTCTGGGCTGTAAATTCCTCCCTACCAACATTAAGCCTATTTTTTTCAGTGGATCTGGACGCTGGATGCGCTGGTACGCAAAAAGTCATTTGTACCACATCACGTAAAGACAGCCCAAGGCTGTGCCAGCCACAAAGGAGAAAAGAGCAACAAGTAGCATCACCCCTACAAGTATATGAAGCCCTGTTAAAAATTCCTGCTTTTTTTCCCCCCATTGTGCCTCCCACCCTCAGACCCCTAAAAGTTGGCGGGACACCCAGAACACTGCAGCTAATCACAAGTCTGATGGCTGCACCCCTGTTGTCCAGCATGCTCACTTGATAACATGGGCTAAAATACAACATAGATACCTTCATCTGTCCTAAACCCAGCTCATTATTCACCTTAAATCTAGTTCTAGGGTTCTCATCCACCTCTCTGATGACTTTCATAACTTGCTCTCCAGGTGCAGGAGCTTTCTGCAGGAACCCATTCCCCATCGCTTACCAACTTCACATTTTACTTCTCCTATGTTGTGCTTTTTCTCTTCCTCCAAAAGCATCGCTTCATCATCCAGTTTCTCCTTCAAAGTTCCTGTGCTCCCAAAACTCTATGGCTTTCCTCCCTCCCCCTTTCTTCTAGCCAAGTCTCAAGCTACTAAAAGGATAACTGCAGGTGTTAAGCACAGAGACAACAATTCCTGTACGTGCAGGAAATTAAAGCACGGTTTCTGTTCTCAACCCTCCCAACTCTGCCTGTAAAAGAGGCCAAGGGAATCAGCAGGTTACTGTTTTCCTCTGCACTTGCAAATGTGATTTTTTTCCTGCTATGAGATTTTGTGAGTGCCAAATGCTTTGCCAAAGATTTTCATATGATCTGGATGGAGAGCAAGAAGCGTCAGACGTCTCATTGTAAACTAGGTTTCCAGCCCAGTTTTGTCCTCAGAAGTGATCCAAATGACTTTCAGAGGAATCTGACTTTGCAGTGATCTTCTGCTGCACCCCCTGTTAGCTCCTACAAGAGCCCTGCAGTCTAAAATATCCTGAAATTAATCCTGTCTGGTTCTAGACTTGTCTGCTCGGTCCTGTCATCCCTTATTTGAACTGCTTTTTATCCTCTGCTATGCAACATGTTGTTCCCTTTTCCTCCTGTACTTGCATAAGAGAAATATAAAGGAAAGCAATTATTTTGCAAGTAAAACTAGAACCACCCAGGCTAAATCAGGCAGTTTTCTGGCACCGTCTTAAAAAAGCAGGGCTCAAAGAACAACAGAGAAAAAACCCAGCATCCTCATTACGAAAGAGTGATCAGCTGAATAAGAAACACAAGGAAAAAAAAGGGAGAGAAGAGCAAAGTGAGAAGTGTTCAGGCGAAACTTCAGTCCTTTTACAGGACCCTGAAGGAGCACAAACCTGCCACGATGGTCCTGCAAGTGAAAGAGGGGTTAGAGGTACCTTCTCCAGCGGCCCCAAGGGCTCTGCAGGCACCTGCTTCCAATTACTTACCCAGAAAGACAGAGAGAGAAGGGGGCGGGAGGGGGGAACATGCAAGAATAGAAATGAAGAGGCAAGTGAGCGACCTCAGCCAGCGGAGGAGAGGAGAACATGACAGCCCAAATGGCAGTTGTGTTCTCGGCACAGGCCGGGCAGCGAGTGGGCTGCCTCGTGGCAAGCGCCGAGAAGCGCTGCCTGGAGAAGGCAGCTCTGTCTTGGAAACCCAAAGGGGTGAATTTTCCCCTCCAGCCTCCCTTGCAGAGCTGCAGACAAACTGGGCCAGAACTCTGCTCGCATATTTTTTGAAATGCCTGGGACTTATTTTTAAACGTTAATTATCATTCATGGCAACAAACCCATGCAGGTTCACCCTTTGGGAGCACCCTGGTCCCAAGGCAGGTGGCTGGTCCCAGTCCATGCCAAACAAGTGTCTCCCAGATGGAATAACTGATCCAGCCTCCTGCAGAGCTGATGGAAGGATTGATTTTGTTGGAATAAAATAAAACTGTGGGGTTACAACATCAGACAGAATGGGCAAGAAACTCGCCTGGTAAAGCCATCATGATCCTAAGAACCAAGGTTTGTTCCAGGATGTTGTTCAGACATTTGTGTACAAGTCTGAGATTCATTTATCCCTCTCCTTTGTTTTCCCCAGCTTCTAAAATCACCCTCCCAGCCTTTGAAAAGTGTAGGGAGAGGTAGAAAGTTCAGCCAAGCTCAGTGATCCATGGTTTTGGGCCTCTGAGTAAATGGGCTGGTTTGTTTAGTTGTTTGGTGTGGGGTTCTTTTGAAATCAAGATAGCAAAAAACAAGATCGTTATTAAACCTACCGTGAACAGTATGTTTACGACATCACACACAAAAAGATATTAAATCTTTTCCCCTGAATCACAAAACAAAACAGCACCGGTCAATGCACTGGAAAGTTAAACTGGTCCAGAATATTTCAGCCTTCAAATTAAGCAAAAATAATCAGACAGACAGATTTTTCTAATTCAGCCTTTCAGATGAGATGTGCGAGCGACACAGGTAAGAATATTTTCTGCAAGAAGATTATCATCTTGATCACATCTGATAGAAATCCATTTTCCAAACTCATTATCTCCACTGGCTGCAGGGGCAGACTCATGGTGTCCCATTTAACAAAATATTAAATGCTATTTGTTATTCTGGGCCAGAAAAACAGCATAAACTTTTTTCCTGCAGGCAGCCCAGGCTCCAGTTCCAGTCATGGATCTCTCGCTCTTAGCACTGGCCAGACCTAGGAGAGACACAAGAGCTGCATCGTGAGTACCACAGGGGGAAAAATTGTGCACTGGGGAGGCAGAAGTCAGCAAAGGTGCGGGTTCCCTCGGCGGTGGTCATCGTACATCACTAGAAAACGCCAGGTCATACATTTTAACCCAATTTTCCTAATCCATATGGCTATTTCCCAGACGAAGTGATGTAGTCAAGGATGCTGATGATGCAGGGTTGCTGGAAAGAGGGAGGGTCCAGAGGGAGGGTGAGACAAGCAGAGAACCAGAGCAAACGTGGCATCTCCTCGGGATGCGGCATCATCTTCAGCGAGCGTTTCAGAGAGAGGAGTCTTCCCCTCGACTGCCACACAGCCTGTCAAACTGCCTGGGAAGCTCGGGGGAAAGAGTCATCTTTCACACAATTTTACAAGGTAAAAAGAGGTCTTCATTTTTTGAACCATATCCCCTAAGCTTCTACAGGAATTAAAGCTCTGCTCCCACCTATCGAACCCTGCGCAGAAGGGAGAGGAGAAGGAAGTGCACAAGGTCAAAGCCCACGTCCTGACTCCCCGAGGAAGGCTCGAGAGTGCCCAAATGATGTGGCAGGAGCTGACAATAGCAAAAAGGGCATCTTCTTGTCCCTTGGCTTTCTCAACACATACTGAGCAAAAAAATTAAGTGCTCAAATCCTTCTGATTTGTGAAAGGCCAGCTTGCCACTGGAGGTGGCTGGGTACAGCAAAACCTGCTTCAGCAGAGAAAAAGAGATAAGCAGAATGGTTCCTTGTCCTCTTAAAAAAAAAAAAAACAAACGAACGCAGCTGGTCACAGAGTAATTACTGAAGTAATTTTATATCCAAAACTGCTGAAGAGTCAAAAGGCAGTGGTGCTTTTGGACAACCCCTGTGCGACATGCAGACCAGAAAGCTCTTCAAATGTGGGTTGTTTGTAGCCGGAGTGAACTTTTAGGTCCCACCAGATGATTTCCTCATGGCCCACATGATGCTTAACTGGTTTTCCAAAGAACTGCTTAAGGAAAGAGACAACAACAGACACACAGCAAAGGCTACTCCACATCCCAAGAGCACAAAAAGCAGAGCCTATACCTATTCCAGCCTCCCTCTACCGCACTCTCATTTCTTTTGAAACCTTCTTTGCTCCCCAGAAAGAAAACAGACACACTGGAAATGACATCAAATGGCATCAATGACAACAAACACAGGGACCAGTTCAGTTCCTTGACCGTTCTGAGCAGCGTCGGCAGCGATTCATTGAAGTGGTAAAAAGAAGAAAGTCACTCACCCTCACGAAGCTGGCGGGAAACCATCCTTCTTCATCATCGATCTGACCCCACCACCAGTCCTTGTTGGAAGCATCCAGGACCTTGATAACGTCTCCTGCTTTAAACGCCAACTCCCGGTTGGCCATGGTGACGTGATCCCATACTGCCTCAGCACTTACAATAGAACCACCACTGATCAGCTTTGAAAACAGAAAACCAGCAGTCAATACAAGCTCGGTTCCCCCACGCAAGCACATGCACAGCAGCAGCAGCACAGAAAAAAAAGCGCTCAGCCAAAGTAAAACTGGTTTTCCTCCATCCTGATCCGTCACAGTTTCACCCTCCCATGATGTAACCCAGTCTGTGACCATTTCTACCATTTCTGCCACCATTTCTGCTCCTAAACCATGGCCAGCGAGCACCATGTGCGGATGCCCAGTGCCCCTCGGGTCCCACACGTGGGAAAAGCCACAACTCCCCTGCCACCACCACGCTGCGTTTGTGAGCATGCACATCTGTCAAGGAACATGGCTTTCAGGTACAATTGGGTTAGCAGAACAGAGAGCTGGGAGTTCCTAAAAATGGCAAAACCAAGCGATGGTGTCCTGCAAGGGAATTCAGGTCTCAGAGAAAGTTTGTTCACTTAAAGGATTGACTGTCACTCAAGGGTGAGAAGGTTTTCCATACAAGTCCAAGCCAAGTTTGCAAACATATTTAAAAGAACGGTTTTTTATATTTAAGAGAACACTTTTAAAAAAAAACAAAACCTGAGAGTTCAGTATTTTTTTAGTGCTGGCGATGTACTGAAATCTTTTGAAATCTTCATACACAGCAGATCAGAAGGACACAGTGGCACCTGCCAACCCCTTCCAGACCTGACCTGGAGCCCAGCCCAGCCCCACAGCATGTCCAAACCCTGCTCTGCTCACCCAAAACCTGCTGACAGTGACTGCCGTGACAGCCCTCGGGGTGCTGATACCTGCCCACTAGAAACTGGACTGAGGACAGACTTGTGTCCCACAGGACCTACTTGAACGTCTCTCCACGCGGAGCACACGGTTGCCTTAAAGCTGGACAAGCACCACGGCGGGGACCTGACTGGTTCTTTCATTGCAACCCACCTTATTTTATATTTTATATATTCCTTATATAGATAGATAGATATAAAACTTATATATAGATATAAAACCTATATATACACATAAAACTCCTGATTAATGCGTGTGGGAAGGACTCATCCAAACAGTGATGCTTATGCATCCACAAGACAAATCATCCATCCATACCAGGGCCACCCACTGTTCCTCAGAATGATGGTCATGTCTTTTTTTAACAGAATAATAAATTGTGTTTATGTTTTGTCCACTGCAGGAATTCTGCACTGAACAGGAAGGCTGTCCCAGCAAATACAGACTTTGCCCACACGCTTATGTCAGAGCCATCCTGAACCTGGTTCATTAATTCTGAGACGCACTCAACGTGCACTTGGACGCGCCTCCAAATCAGCATTTCAGCTCAAAAGGAAGAGCTCAGCGCTGCAACCCTTACAGACCTTCCACATGGCAAGACTTTAGCAGCCACAGAAATTCCTTTCCATTTAGGCAAGCAACACAAAGCATAAAGACAATAACCCGGCGCAGCGGTTATCTAAGTGCAGAAGCACTGGGAATGGTTAGAGTGCTCTTAACAGCTCTTTTTTAAGTCTGGCTTCCCAAAGTGCCTGCTAATAACTACCTGCACAGTAAGAACTTGCAGTAAACCTTCCAGCACTGCTGCAGGGTTCTCAGCATAAACGCAGAAGAGCATTCAAGTCCCTACAGGCAATTCAGTCAACAGATTCAAGGACCTGATTTACCATTTTCCTTGAACTGGCTTTCCTTTAAGAAATCAAGCTCCTTAGGTTTGTGACAATTAAAGTTGTGCTTTCAGCTCTTCAATTATTTGTCAGTTATACATAAAATAGCAAGATCTAAGAAAGTCTAACTTGACACTTAGTGCCTTTTATGCTCAAAGCCAAGGTGTATCTAGCCAGCAGACCTCTTCTTCCCGCAGTAGATCAAGTAAAACGATGGTCTTCCTACTTCCGTTTTGTCAAATTGTCCTTCCTAATTCAAAAGCAGCTGGAAAAGAAAAATATGGCTTCTTTGTATATCCCACACCAGCCGCACTGATGACCTGACAGCAGACAGAAAGCAAAGGCTTGGGTTCATAACAAGCTCCCACTGAAGAGTCAAGCAACGGCCCTAATCAATGTGCTGACCTTATGGCAGAGGGCACCTACTGTCTCAGTGTGGGTTTATCTCACATTTGGGCTTTTGATACAGAGCTGAATGGAGCCAGGCACCAGGGGATCACATCCAAAGGAGGGGCAGATGGTGTGGGACCCTCAGGTTGACCCAGCTCTGGGCCCTCACTTAGCAAAGTAGGGTAGCTACATCTGGACAAGTAACAGCTATGAAGGTTGATTTCTGTTTCCAGTGCAACAACTGAATATTCAATCCAGGTAGGGATAAGTTTCAGTGCTTCCTCACAACACCTGTGTTGCTCTAAATCAAGGTTTCTAGATGCTTTCATAAATATCAATCAGTTTAAACCACAAAGAACCCCAAGACAGATCTGGAAGGAATGAAGACTTTGCAGCTGAAGAAACCCCCCTCAATATATTGAAGACCAGTTAACTCATCTGTTAACCAGAACTCATCTGTTCTTCTGCCAGGACCAAGCTCTTCTCCTTCACTAGTGTTTCCCCTTTGACGTAATTATGGACACTGTCTGGCCGGTGGTTTCCCCCCGTTAAACGAGCTCTGCTCTTTCAGCCTTGTCTTGGCAGAGGGCTCTTCCTTCCCTTGAGCATCTCACCAGCCCTTTTAGGCATCTAGATATTTCCCCTGCATCTTTCTTGAACATAGATGAACCAGAACTGTAAACGCTACTCCCAAAGAGACCTTACCAGAGATTTGTGAAACAGCATGAAACATTTCTTACAGTGTCACAGAAATCCTGCAGTAATACAGAACATCTCCCCCTTTTTCCCTTGGCTACCTCCCACCAGCGGCTCACTGTGATCTTGCATTTAGCTTAGCCAAATAAAAGAGGTAGAGTACATTCTCTTTGTCTAGAAAACCAGTTTCCTTGTCAAAAAATAAATCAGGTTAGCCTGACACCCGTTCCTTTTGTTAATGCCATTGGGTATTTTAGTCCATTTTTCACTGATGATGAACCAGGAACAGAGCTATCACGCAGAAGCCGGGTTTCTGCTTTTTCTGCTTCAGCTGACATAGACTTTGCTGTCACTTCACACACAGGCAGTTCTGGGCACAAACTGCCACAGAAACGTCACGGAAACCAAACTTCAGAGGGACTGCGTTTCAGAGCCTTCTAACCTACTTCGCAAAAGTATTTCCTCGCATTTGCGAGCCTGAGGCACAAAATCCCGGCTCTGAGGAGCACGGCTTGGCCAGCAGGAAGGGCTGGCAGGGACTTGCTGAGGGCCAGAAGAACCCTTTTTCTGCTGTTAACGTCGAGATCTGGAAGATGCTTCCAGTGGGTGTCAGGAGCTGAGGTGGCTTTGCAAGGGGCTTCTGGATACTCAAGTAGAAAGGTTGTAAGTTCTTGATTTTGATTGCCTAGTGCCAGCAGATAGAAGCAACCCCCCTTTAGCTGATCCTTTCCAGCCCCGCGTCCATATTGCTAGCCCAAGAAAGGGATTCACAGGCCAGGAAGCCTGCAAGGAAGCCTTGGCCTTCCAAAATACAAATGCAGTTCAGCCTGTGAAAAAAGAATGGCAGCGGGATGGCAGAATTCGAGCTCCAACCATTGCACGTGCTGGGTCCCATTAAAAGAAGGTCAGAGCCTAAAATTAAAAGATCCAGTTTAATTTATTTTGCAAGACATCTTGCTGCATCTGTGAAGCCATCTGACTCTTTCAGGGCAGGGTTACAGAGACAGAACCTGACATCTACAGCAGCCAGAGCCGATGAACTAGAGAAAGGTCGGCATAAAATATTATTTTCTGAGATAATTCAACATAGGAGCTCTTCTCTCCAGAAAGCTCGTGTCTCTTGGTTTCAAATTTGGGTCTTAGCGTTGTGGTCAGACATACTCAGCCAAAGACCCCAAAAGGCACTTTTCTCCTGTAATCTGACATCTCTACCACACAGCATCTGAGACAGTCATCTGGACTCCTTTATAATCACTGAAGAGAAAGAGACACATCTGGAGTGTGATTCATCTTGGCTATTTCAGTTGTTTACCTTCGAGTGAGGTGAATCATGCCCTAGAAATTACTATTTCTCTGTGTTTAATTGGGTGATGCAGAAGTTTACACTTCCAACATCTTACGTTCATCCCATCTACAATTTGGCCATCACTAAAAAAGGGTAACAAACAACTGGATTTAACAATAATAATCACAATAGGAATAGTCAAATATTAAATCACACTCTCCCCGACACAGCAATTTCTCAGTGTGTGAAGGTTCTTGTAAATAAAACTATGTTCTCTGTGCCCATCAGAAGAATTCACAAAATCTCAGCCTTGTAAATTTACAATAATGGGGACTTAGATATTTGGGAAATATCAGAGGAAGAGGGAGACAGTTAAAAGAAATGCAATAGGTGATAACATACATTTGGTTTTGATGTACCCTGAATACTGCTTGTCTTCCAGGTGAAAAGTCCTCGTTCCCCTTTAAATCAATTATTCTTGTCAGTTGGTTGTTCAAACTAAAGAGCCCAAAGCAAAAAGTTCCTCGACGCTTTCACCATGTAACGTCAGTGCAGGAGAAATGCCCACAAGCACTTCTCCACAACAGACCCGAGAATAATTGTTACTGTTTTATGGGAGACTTCAAAGCACCGCCAACCACTCTCTGGCTGGGGCAAAGATAAAACTTTCTCAGTGGGCAGAAGAACCAGATTAACTGCTGGGATGTTGCGTGTCATCTAGGGAGCAGAGTCACCGTTCATCATGGGTCCTTCTTCACCTCCCACCAAACGCTTGGTCACGGCCAAAGATATACCAGGACAGACAAAGGAGGAGCTACTTCCACATCCCAGCGCCACAAATAGATTGACTTAATGAGGAAAAGAAAAAGGGCAAAAAGACAATGTTCTCTCTAATTATATGCACAGCTGACACATTTCTGGCACACGCACTAAGAACATGGGGTATCATCACTGTATCGCCAGGATCACACGCA